TACCAAGCATGAATGTGAGAGGCAGAACAGGTATTCCATATTCCTTTAGCTGGGAGAGGTGGGGACATGTTAAAGATCAACATTGGAGACTTTCTGCCTCTTCTCTTTCACCTGGATTTTTTTTCATCCAGTTTCAGTCTGTCTAAAAGAGAGTATTATAGTAAAACAATATCCCAACAGTGACTTTAGTAAAGGACCAAACTAATGAGTGTACATATACCTTAGCAACAGTTCACCAATGAACCATCCATCTCCCTATTGCTAGTGTGCCCTGCAGTTTGGTCATCTTTCCAATTGTCCATGGAGAACAAATGATGAGGGGGTAGAAGAGGTAAACAGAGACATCTGTTCATGTCCATTTCTAACCAACACAATCTCCTACTCAGTCGCGGGGGAGGGTGTGGATTCTGACAGTGAGTCAGAGCCAAAGGGAGGCGGTGTGAGAGGTGGCTTGGTTTGGTCTATGGAGGGAGGCAGCTGTGACTCAAACACTGCATACTGATGAGCTGGAGCAATTTCTCCATTTCCCTGTAGGTAAAGGGGGGTTTGCTCCCCAACCAGTCTGCTATGGGCTGTGTGTTGTGCACTGCGGCTCCAGTAAGCTAAACGCTCTACTACAAGGCAGTGAAAAGTGGGATTCCCCTCAGAAATAACAAAGATACAGAGCACTTAATTTTCTTCCCACTCCTTTGCCTCTTTCTCTTCTCCAACGTTGTTCAGTTGTGGAAGATACAGAAGCCCTGATTTAGAAACCAAAAACAAAATGACCAACCTCAATCATAAGATGTGACAAAATACGCATTATGTGCGGTACCACAGTGAAGCTTCTATCTGTGAGATGGAGAAGTACTAATGGCAGAAGTTTGTGTTACGTGCACTAGGCAATAAATGAGAACTCCACACAAGAATACAATGTGCACATAACTAATTTACATTTCCAGGGTAACAGTTCATTAGATAACATGACTTTCATTTGGCTGGGGTGGCAACGGATAAATTTGCTACAAATCTGCTCTTGTAAGCAGCGTACAGCAGGAGAATATAATCAATGTACTGTGTAAAAAGTATTCATACATACACAGTGGTGTCTCTTAAGAATTTGGCAATCTTATTTGAAAGCTCTATTTTTGTTATGGTCCACTAGGCTCTAATTACAAATATTTCCTAGAACAGTTCTAAAAAATCACTCATTATTTTGGTCGTTTTAGTGGGACATGACTTACAAATGTATCTGAACAAACTGGCAGAAACCATTTGTTCCTGCTTCTAGGCTGACAACAATATTATTAAAATAAATGTATTATAAAACCATAGTTTACTTTACATAATTACTATAAATAGAGCTTTTACCAGGATGGTTGTGGACTGATATGCTTTCATTTTACAATTAGCTAGATAGCCTGGCATACACAGGAAAAGTCACTCAGCACATGAAAAATTTCTCTTCTTCGTGTGATGCGAATGAAACTTTTCCTTAATATTTATCTGGTCTGTGATGGATGGCTCTGATAGGAAAGATATCAGAGTGAATCTCCACCATGAAACTACTCAACAGACAGAAGGAAGATAAAGAAAAGTATGGTATTATTCACAAACTAATATTCAAACAGTCTAAGTATCTATGCAATGAATTCATTATTCTCCTCTGCCAAAATCAAACTGAGTTTTGCAGTTGGCTCGAACAGCACTTTTTCCCTTGAAGCACTCAGCACCATAAGGATATAGTCCTTTCAGTTCTGCATGGAAAATTCAGTATCAGCTATTTATGCAACAGAAACAGCATGAATGCCATGAATAATGAAACGTTTTGTGCTGATTCAGTCATAACTTCTCTGAAAGCTGCTTGCTGCTTTCCCCTGGTCATTATGTGGAGAGATTCCAACTCTTTCATTCCACTCTGTCACTGCACCCTTGCCAACAGCAATCATTGTTTCAGTAACTGTCCTAAGTCCTTCCCAATACCCAACCTGTTCAGTGATAACAGACTGTGCCTCTAGCAGGTTGGGGCAAGCAAGAAGAGTTCAGCTGTTTGGGCAGCGTTTGCTGGATGCTGACAACTAACCCATACATGGATGGGTTGATACCACAGTTGGATCCAATTCACAAGCCACCCATGTAACTGTGATCCTGTGTCATATGATTAATTACTTTATGCTTTCTGTACTAACAATGTTTGTTCATTCTTTTAATTACAAAAATTATTTTAAAGCAGCTTTTAATCTTCAGAGAGCAGATAGGCTTTCTAGAAAGATTCCGGAAAGCCTTTGAAGAGGCTAGAAACATATCACAAGGCTCTCGCTTCTCACTCCACAGAAGAATTTGCTCCCAGTACATCAAAATAGAGCATTCAGAGTTAAGAAAGAGTTATAAAAAACAGTGGCATTTTGCCACAGCAGGAAAATTATCAATTATGATATATTTCAGCTGAATGCACATTTTATATCAGCTACAGCCTCTCTTTAATGCTTCCAGAGCTACACTTTCTGAATACATACCGTAAAAGGTAGGCAGTACTTTTCTGAGAATGAATACATTGGTTTTGGCTTTCTGGGTTCTGTGTTACAGATTATATTTAACCTATGGAAAGCTTTAAAATATGTATTACATAATATTGAATATGTGTATAAAACATGGACTTCCTCTTCCTTGCATTTGTACATGTGTGCGTGTTTCTTGCACCACACTGCAGCTTTGTAACTTAAAGCTAAATCTAATAACATCATTCACTGCAGCAGCAAGATACTTTCCCCTAGAGTAGGATACAATGATGATGACATAATGCTGTGGTTTCTAAATCCCAAACCAGCTGTTACTGGTACATGCATTCAAATTCACTGTCTCTGCATCCGTATGAGAGGCACAAAAGCTTGTGACTTGATTCAGTAAATGATTTATTATTTTGAATGTATAATTCAGGGACATAGCTTACGCATGGCTTCAGCCACAGAGTGGGGAAAAGTAATTTAGGCAGTTTCCTACCGTAATAAAACAGAGAAAGGATATAATCCATCTGCACAGACCCAGTAGGTATTTTCCACTAACTAGCATGAGATCTGCTGACTGATTTTGGACTGAGGGAACAATTAAAAGCTGCCAATTTTTGAAATTGTTTCTCCTCTCTGAAAGACATTCATACTAATTCCTTTATCTGCTATAAATAAACACAGCTGGGCATCAATCCCCTAACCCAAACTGCACCAAAAACCACAGTACCTATTCAAGTATTACTGTGTATATTATGTTGTAACTTTTAGTTGAATAAAGGTGGCAGTAAAAACAGCTGCCATGCTTATGGATACTGAAAGAAGCTAAGATTCTCCTGTGCTTGCTGTTCTTGAATATTTGAGAATATTAGCTCAAGAAATGAAGGTCAGCTTTAAAGTCACTTCTAACAGCAAATCTAAAAAAAGAATACCACAGAAGCAACTTGAGACCTATGAGGAAGCTTCTTCCCCTACAGTAAGTTGCTTTGATGGAGTACAAAATCCATCTCTGCATAAATCACTCATTTGCAAGGCAGAGTCTGGGTACATCAGTTGATAGTCTTTAAATCCAGACTAAATCAGACCTCTGAAACTCTTAACCTAATCCCTGCCCTCTGTACTATATCATCATGGCAATTTGTTTCCAGGGTTACAGTATTTATTTACTCAGAGTAAAGCCAATGTGAACAATTGCCCCGAATTTTAGTAGGAAAAATGCATCCCTAGTGTAATTCCATTATCTGAGTGGTCTTGCGTCAGGGATGAATTTAGCCTATTAAGTTTTGGCACAACACTATCAGTGAGGGCAATATCTGCTCAAGCCATATTATCTTCATTTGGAGGATGACACTGAAACCACTGTGCTTGTAATCAGCCATTTCTTTATGTGCATCTTTAAATGTACAGACAGCCAGAGAAATGAAGAGCTGAACTGTAGCATAAGTTGTCCAAATATTCCAAACTTCAAGGACTTACCACAGAAAATAAAGGGATAATCTTGGTAAGAGATATAATGAATTCTTCAGAGAGGAGGTGCAATCATGCACTGAATGTGAATCATGATCCACTAGGTTTTTTGTAGCCAAGTAATTGATAATCAATCCACACGGTTACAGTTGAATCAATCAATCATGTATCTACAACATCCCATATCAAACAAGCCAGCAGAAGTCAGGAAAGATCATTGCCAGTTCTGTTTCTGTGGCAGGCTGATTTATTAAACTGAGAAATTGCCCTGATGTAGATAAAAACTTTTCAGGCTAACCCAGACCAGGAACACTTCAGAAAAATAAAAGGGTTACGCAGAATTTATGCAGATAAGCCCTTCTTCTGTAGCTCTACTTATTTAACTAGAAAGGCCACCAACAGTTAATATGAAAGAGTTTGTAAAAGCCAGGAGAGGTGTGTGAGAAAACAAACAAAACTAAACACCCAAACCAGGCTGTTCCAAAATCCCTCCTCAAGAAATGATAACAATTTTTCAAAATATGCATAGCCACAGACTCCAGAATGGATCCAGGAAAGAGTGCTGCAAAAAATACTTCTGTGCCAAGATGTAACACTTTCCATAGATGGAAGGAGTTTCACTTGGTAGAAGACCATAGCATTAGGTCCTGTGTACTCTAGCTTCTTACAAATGACAGATTAAAGGTGCCGAAGTGCTGGATTATTTTTGGAAAATGCAGGTACCTGATCCACCTCAATATAACTGAGAAAAACACTAATCTACCCCTGACATAAAGCCATTGAAATCAAGTGCGTTTCACTGGTGTGAAAATGGATTAATCCTCTAAATACATATCTGATAAATAACGTTTCCTTCATTAGGCGGAAATATTAAAGAAGTATGGAATTCAACATTGCTCTAATCATTTGGAAGTACAGTTTTAACATTTTGAATGAACAAGTCTGAAACAGGACTCATAAGAGCAAGGAGGATGAGAATATAATTATCACTGCTGGTAGAGTAAGAACATAGCATTAATAACACAGTTGCATAAAAGTATGTACTCTCACCTAGATAGGAAACTCCTTCTTCTGGTGTAATTGTTCCATATTTAACCATCATCTTCACAAAATCAATCAGGGTTTTCATGATAGTTATCAAAGTCTCTTTCTCTTTTGCCTCTGTCTCTATATGAGGGGATAAAGCAAAACTAGTCAGAGACTTCAGGTAACTTAGAAAAACTCAGTTCTCCAAACTCTGCACAAACTTCATGCATAAAAAATTACCTACTCACTAAAAAGAAAGTGCTGTGCTGGATTAGCAAAGAGAACTCCTATACAAGTTTCCCTTTAAACTGCTCCTGCAAAGTACAGCTGAATATACTTTAAAACTTCAGGGTTTGGTTCTTCTTTATAGCTTTTTGTCTTGAAGGTCTATGTTATGGAAGACAAATGGTATTAATTCCATTTTACAGTTAAGAACACTAAACACACTGAGAAGAAGTGACTTGACAGAGTTCAAATTGCTGGTCAGAGGACAGATATAAGCAGAGTTTTCTAAAGTCTCTGTCTTTTTCTTTCATTTGTCTGTGAAGTACTTAGTAGACCAGTCTGGCTCTGTATGAGGAAGATAGCCCAGAGATCCTTTCTCCTCCAAGATCCATGGGTTCAATGACAAAAACATAAAGTGTCTCAAATGAGATTGTTACTGTGCACAAGACCATGACTCTGGTAGTGGGACAATATAATATTACATGGTTGGGAGAATCATGGCTCCAGAATAGGATACAAACAATGATTCTTCATTATAAAAATCCATCTTCCTTGCCCATTCGTATCTCTGACTATCTTCACGATCACTGCTTCTTTGCTTTCTTTTTCCACTGTGTTTATCTGCTGAACAGTTTAACTGCTACTTCTGCATTAGCAGCATGAAACTCCCCCATCACAGTTACACAAGCTCTTCCCGCACCCCAGGTTGCCACCAAAGGACTCAACAGAGCCAGGGGCACTGTCAGACTGGGACAGTCAGAAACATGCTCCCAGCCTTGGCAGAGGGCCAGCCCCTTTGCAGAGCTGCTGAACAGGGGTTTGACCGCTGCCTGCAATTTAACACACATCTGTAGGATGCAACTGAATCCACTCTCCTCCAGTTTGACACAAGCTGGCAAGCAAACAGCATAAAGCAGGAGACAAGGCAGAGGTATGCAACTAGTGGGACCTGGTTCTCTTTGCTTGATAACCTGTTAAACCCAACATGCCTTTCTGCTTCGTGAGTAGAAGAACTGACATGCAAAATTGCCATAGGAAAATAATAATAATATTAGTAAGTTTGTAGATTGGACTTGAGCAAAATATGCCCTCAGGCTTTTCATTCTAGCTCTGTACTCAGGTTTTCATGGGGACAGTTTGAAGCAAGATTAAGACTCCTGCAGGACAAGGAATCTACAGAATAAATTGTTGCTGACTGTGCTGGAGAGATCAGAAGATATGCTGGCTGCAGAGAGTGAGAGTGGGTGTGTGGTAGAGCATGCTGACAAAGGGGCTGTGGCGAGGTGCCACAACCTTGCCTGCAATAACTGGAAGGCAATGATGTCTAGCACCGGAATAGGAAGAGACGTACAGAGCTTTCATTGCAATAAACAGCAAACCTGTGGTTTGTGAAAAGGCTGGGAGGCTCAGACTCATTTACTGGTACCATCACTGTAAGGATTCTGCTGTGGCTTACTCGTATCTCTGTTGGCTTAGAAGACATGGATGTTACTGGAAAGATCTCTGGAGAAAACAATTTGCCAGTTTTTCATCATGCTCTCATGGGAATGAAGAGAATTCAGGACTCCTGAATCATACAGCACAAGATGGGAAGGGCTACCTAGGTCAGACAGTTTGCAGTTCTGGGTGCTGTTCCTCCCAATATTTTGCCATACTCACTGGTCAAATCAGTTTCTGCTATGTCTCTTAGAGAACATTTGTAAAGCACATGGTCTCTTGCAGCTAGGGAAGCTGTGGGGATGGGAAGGGAAAGGAGTAGGAGAAAACAGAGAGAATCTTAATTTTCTAAATTTTTTCTTAAATATTCCTGTAAACACATGATGAGCTCACCTGAGTTAAGACTTTTTAACAGTGCATAAAAGTTTGGAAAATATTGGAGGTCTTCAAAATTATCTTCAGAAAGCAGCTCATTTCTTCTTTCCAAGATATTAGATGGTGACCATGTGTTATCCAGTGTATCATCAATTTCTCCATTGATGAAACTATCCCGATCAGCTTTGCTTGGTGTCTCCACAAAAGACATAAAAAAATGTCTATAAGCACATTGCTTTTGGTGATAGAGTTAATAGAGAAACAAATAACATCATAATCGTACTCCAACATTTTCCTAATTAAGATGTGAATACTATACTATTTTCTCAAAGTTATTTCAGTTTGGCATCTGGTTTAAACCTCAAAGTAAATCATGATTAATTTTCCTATCTGATGGAACTCCTTTAAGAACACCTTTAGTTTCCAGATTGAACTAATTATTCTCTAAAGAAAAGTAGCGTATTGGTCTACTTGTACCACTTGGCAAGTAAGTCAAAATGATTAGCTAAGAAATTACCATTCTTTCCTGTTGCTTTTCTTTTGTATCACTGTCTCCTCTGCTTGGAGGATAATAAAAATCTTCAGACTCCTTCTCACGATCCTTTGCTTCATTTGCAATTAGCTGTTGTAAAACCTCTGCCACTTCATCTTCCAGGGTATAGGCCTGACTCTCTGTGATCTGTTAAAATATTTGTGCAGAGTACTTATAGAATATTGTGCTTTTCCTAAATTAAATGTCAACATGAAACCTGAGCTTTGTATGTAGGTTGCTTCAAATATGTTTACTTCAAAGCTGATCACTGCCAAATTAGGTGTAATACCTTCACTGATGTGTGTGTGTGTATGCATGTATACATATAGACATATACACATGTCTATACTTATATAAATGTATATATACACGTGTACAAACACACATCAAATATGTGTGTATACATGAAAAGTACCCACCCACACAGATAGACTCCAATAGGAAAACAAACCCACATAGAGCTTAACACAATGGAGTCCAGCTTGAAAGATGGAGCTGCAACTGTGGTATGTCTACGTGTGTATATATGTGTGTGCATATATAAATATATATGTTCTGCAACATACCTATGTACAATTGAATTACTATAACAGAATACAGTAACAGAGAAAGCTGAAAAGCAAACAGCTTTCTACAGCATCAACAAAATGTTTTCTCTTTTGCTTTGTAACAGCCATCACTTGAGTGAGAACTCTACCATGCAGCTGTCCCACAGCTCCCTTGGTAATCAGTGGGATTCAACATGCAATAACTAATTGCAAAATCTAGTGCAGAAAAGATGAGGTTAGTATTTTAAAATATAAGGATCCCATATTACAATGGCTAAAACCATTGAGACATCAAGAGGTCAGAGACAAACCTAGTCATACTAAAAATCGGTAACAATGAGAAATGTATCCTCAACTAACCAGGATCATTATATGTCCGCTGATGACAATAATTAGTGAGTGGATAGGAATGAGCTCAGTCCTTTCCCCACAAACATCCAAAAGAAATTGATAATATAGAAGAACTCAGTGAGAATTAGAAGAGAAATTAAAGAAAAAATGAGGGCAGACATGAGAGGAGTGTGATGAGTGAATGTTTTCTCAACATCAGAAACATTCTGCAGTTTTGCCTATTTTGTTATGAAGCCATCACAGGAACAACAGTGTTATTGCAGAACTAAACCAATATGCCCAAGTGAGTCAAGAAGCTTGACTAGAGCCTGAATTCCATTAATTTTTACTCAGGTCAGGATTATTAGCTGGACACAGAGCTCATCCCAATTGTTTTTAAAAAGAGCATTAAACCAACACACAAAAGAGCTAAATGAAGTATTAACAAGATACTTACCAGCCCCAGATTTAGGAGTTTTGAAACAATCTTGTCAAACACTCCTCTATCATTTTCCTCATAAATTCTTGCAGCAATTTTCTGAACAATGTCTTCAGCAGTCAAAGGAGTGCCATCCAATTGATGGAGGCCATCTGGATCATCTAAAAGGATTACAGTTTAATTCTGTGCTGACCATCCTAACTCATATGGACTAGACATCTTGTAAAAAATATCTGCCCACATCTTTTTCTCTTCAGAACAAAGCTGCACTTTTTAGACATATTAGGAATATACTTTGATTTGGATTTGGAATCCATTACATCAGTCCCAGTGAAAAGTTCTTTGTGTCCATTTTCCACATCTGAAAACTGTCTTTCTGACGGGCTCTTTTGAAAGAGCGGGTATGAATGTCAGGAGCATACTCTCCTGTTTATAGAGAAAATTGTAAGAATGAGAGAACACTGCTCATATAGCTGCTTATATGCATCTTCCTGGCATCTACTGTCATTGTATGGCCACTTAGATCAAAACAGATCATGACAAACAGCATACTATCTTCTTGTTTGGATTTCAGCAAATTAAGTTTTAATTATGTAATCATTACTCATGGTAAATAATTTCATCATGACCAATGGGAAAGTGAATATGATGACTAAGCTTTGGTCTGTGATCAGCATACTTTGATATAATTAAAAATATCCTGAGCTAAATGCTGCTCACAACTCTCAGAGGACTCACTTAAACTACAAGTCAATTAAGTACTCCTGTGGTAAAGGCAAATATTCTTTGGCCTTTGGTAACTTCTTTTAGTTTTGTAATGAGGAGAATTATCTAACATTGCACATAACATTTGGAACAAATATATGTAATTTAGCTCTATATAAACGTGCTTCTTCCTTTCAAACCAGAATAAATATATTTCCATTTAAAAATATGTCGCATTTTCCTTCCATCAAATCTAAATTGCTAAAAAACATAATGCAAATTACACAGTTGGATTTTCCTCCACAGAAGAAGACTGCAAAAATCAACAGCAGTTCTTTTGTATTGTGTTTCAAAACCTAATTGTCATATGACAAGCTTCCACAACTGGAAATAATTGAAGTTACACTTCAGTAACAGAGCTCATGTTTAGTGGTGAGTACAACATTCATGACTGCAATCAGTTTGCAAGAGAAGTCTAACCTAAAAGTCGCTGAAAGATGAATATAGAATACCTTGGAATTTATAATCCAGCCCACTTTTAGTGGAATCATAGTCATCCACAAGCCTGCGGTTCTTGGTGGAGTCTGCATCATCAATGGCCAGTTGCTGTTCATACAAAGAGCTTCTAATTGACTCCCTCTCCTTTTCATTCCTCTCTCTTTCTGCTGCTGATCTTAGCAGGTTCAGGTCATCAACAAAGGAATAATTCCTGAACTCTGGCTTATTTTCTGGAAATATATCAATGCACACATGACATAAAATTTCATGCCTCTTTGAATACCATTAGAAATATTGCTATACAACCAGGAAGGATGTTTTACCTGTGGGAGCTATTTTCCTATTCTTGTCTGCCTCAGCTTCAGCAATCTGATATACAAAAATAAAACAAACAAACAAACAAACAAAATGTCAAACAGGTAGAAGGAATAAATACACTAAAATGTATGATCTCTTAATTTACCAGTATCAGCAGATGCATTAATGCCTGATCTTCACTCTTGGTAAGAAGTTTGCCTTAATAAGTAGAACATGATTAAGTGCTTGGCACTTTTTGTCAGTACCACTGCATTCTCTGATTAGAATCGGATGTTATGAGAAGCTGTAATAGACTTTTTAGTTTAAGATAAATGCCAGTTACATTTTCCTTCTTCAATCCAAGCTCCTGCTGTATTTCCATAGGATGTCAATACAAAGGGGTGACACATCAGTGAGCTGTTGATGCTAACAACCTGCTTTTGGAATGCTGGACAGTAAAACTCTATATGCCAGTTCCTAAAAATTATTGAAACTCTCTTTTGTACCCAACTCCACCAATATTTACTGACAAATCTATTATTAACTCCTATGTTAAGGCATTAGGATATTCATGGATCTGGTACCTGAAGGCTCAAAATATTCACTCACCTGTTCCTCCAAAGGTCTTTCTACACTTAATTGTCTGTTGTGTATAGCTTTATCTAGAATAAACAAACACATACATATATACTCAGTTATATGATACATGCGGCTACAAAGGGACAGCACATTTTTTCTTAATTTATAGTTGTCTCCCATAAAACATGGTGACTTAAATATGATGCCATCTGCTAGTTATTTTTTTTTTTAAAAAAAATCAGTGTTCCTAGAAGAATGAGAAAATGATAAAAAAGTCAAACATTTAAACAAAGTGTGATTGTTTGGGGCAGAGGGAGAGGTTCTGCAAAAGATGTAATAGAAACACAAACATAGACTCAGTAACCCCTTACTGTTGAGAAAACTCAGAAACAAATTGGGGGAAAAAATGCTGTAAGAGATTGACTAAAATAGCAGTAATCGGATTGGCACAACCAAGAGATTAAAAATCTCTTACATCCAGAACACCAGGGGAGACTGGGAGCGAGAGAGAGACTTGTGTAGAAACTGCAGTAGAATGGATGGAAACATTGCTTGGAAAAGGCTGAAAAAAGATTCAAAGCTTTTCCCTCTACCAGCACTTACCTCTTCACTTTAATACTGGATTGCAACTTCAGTGACCCAGAGCCTTGTGCCAGAACATTGTTTCTTTAGGATCTAATTGCTTTAAGCCAAGTGGAAGGAAAGTTTTGACTTTCCCCCTATCCCTACCCTGCAAAACTTTCCCCCACCTCGGAGCAAACGCGTTGACGAGGGCGCTTACCTTTGCCCCCGGGTTTCGGGAAGCCGTGCACCCGGTTCGCCAGCAGCGCCAGCACCTGCACCGCGACCGCCAGCTTGAGCAACATCCTCCCGCTGCTGCTGCTGCTGCTGCTGCTGCTGTTGCCGCTGCCGCCGCCGCCGCCGCGCAGCCCGCTCGGAGGGCGAGCCTGGCGCAGGGACGGGGCCGCTGCCCGCCGGGTCCCTGCCCGCCCCGGCCCCCGCCCCGCCCCGCCCCGCCCCGCCGCCCGGCGGGCGCTGTCCAGCGGCGCGGTGCTGAATCCGCAGAGCGGAGCCGGCCGCGGCGCTCGGGGAAGCCGCTGCCGCGCTGGCTCGGCCCCTCGTCCCCGCGCCCGCGGAAATGGCCGAGACCGTCCCCGCCGCCGGCCCCGGGCAGGGGGGAGGAGACGGGGGAGGGCCGCGGCCGGCAGAGCATGCGCGCCCCGCTCCGCTCCCGCGGCCCCGGCAGCCGCAGCCCCTTCCCTCCCGCTCCCGGGGGAAAGGGGCGGCCGCCTCGCACAGAGGGGCGGCGTGGGGCTTTGCGGCAGCCCCGGGGCGGCCCGCCGCGGCCCGGGGCTGAGCACCGCATCTTATCGGGATCCCGGCAAGCTCCGGGAAGAGGCTGCCGGGAAACCCCCCCGAGTCAGCACATCCCCGGGGCGAGCCTCGGCCGGAGATCGGCTCAGCAGGGCGGGGTTGCACACGCTGGTGGGGCTGCGAGAGTGAAATTCGGTCCTGGAGAGGGGCCTGTGAACCGTTTACATCGATTCAAGGCCTTTCCACAGCGAAGGCACAGCCATCAGTGATTCTTTTTACTACAAAGAGAGGACACCAAGCGTTTAATTATAGCACAGCTTGATCTTTGAAATTCAGAATTAAAAAAAGCAGCAGCACAAATGACAATAGGCACGTCAGCTAATTCTGAACATTTTCATGAATTAAAATCTAGGCCTTGCAGACGCATAACATCAACAAATCCCTAGGGATCGGAGGAAGACATTTTCATTGTTTTATGGCAGAACAAAGGATTGCAGCGGTAGCTCTTTTCAGAACCATAGGATCTGCTTCCAAAATGGGAGAGAAATCACAGTGGTTTTTCTTCAAAAAAGACCTCATCATTTTGTAGTCATAAATGCATACATGCAAGGGTCACCTGAAAACACTTTTAACATCACCAGTCTCAATACTTCCTAACTGCTAAACAAATGGCTAAAAGCTCTATTTGAAGAGATGAAGAGGATCAGTGCTTTTACAACTGAAAACCAGGAACACAGTGGAACTGTTCAATCCCTTATCGATGTGTAATATTATTATAGTATAAACTGGGAAGAACACACGCAAAAATATGAGAATGGTAATCAATTGGACCACAAGCACTAAAAGAATTGCAATTTCTTTTCTTTCCCCCCTGTTAACAACCACTGTATTTAAAAGTAACTTAGATTAAATAGTGATAAAATCTGATGCTCTAGCTTACATCAGACTCACTTCTATAAACTAATCTGCCTGTGGTCCACAGATGCAGAGCAATGAAAATAACTTTCCAAAATGTACTGATAACCCCGCAAACCTTACCTATAGTCAGGCTCCTATTCCTGGAGCTGTACCAGAGTTAGGAATTATAGGGTATTTTAAATAAAACCTTTTCAAGCATAGTTGTATGTAAGAACAAAATAGCCTTATTTACACATTGCCTGGTAACCTACATGGAAAATTATTATACTGAAGAGAACCTTTCCTCACTTTAGAAGCACAGAAGACAAGCAGCATCCACAGAGAGCACAGAGTAACCTCTTCCCCTGCCATCTTTAGCGTATATATATATATATATATACACACACATGCCAACATCAATCTCAAAACTGCAGAACATTACTGATATAGAAAAATAAAAAGATCAGTTCTTACTTTGATATAGCTTGATATTTTATCCCAGTTTTGTATTAATTCAATAGTTCATTGCCTATCCAATGTTCTCAATGTTCAAAAATTTGTACCTTCTCTCCATTTATCTGTCCTAGTATTTACTTCTGTACCACTTGAACATTTCCTGCAATGCATTGTAAACATGCATCCATTTATGGGACTCAACACATTTAGTCATTCAGACAAAAGTCACCATAAAATCCAAAAGCAGTAAATGTATTTTAAACATGCTGAAATCAAGGTCACGGTAAAGCAGTGAGATCAAAAAAGGAGCTCTAATTGGTGATGACATTGCAAAGAAGTTGCTGGTTAAAAACACACTCATGTGATGTGCCTTAATATGGCTTTTTATGTATAATGATATGTCTAACTGTGTTCAAATATGTTTATTTTACATGATATACTTCCGTTTATCTAATGTTTCTATTTATGTGAAATAGTTTCTATAGTATTTCCCAATCACTTACTGCTTGTTATTTCCCTAGTGCTAAATCACCTCCTGCTTTGCAAAGCCTCTCTAACAAGAAATGATGCAGGACTCTGTAGGGGCTGGGACTGATGGTGCGGAAGGAAAAGAATTCAAAACCTGCCATCATCAAAAGAGAGTATGACCGCAATAGACCCTCTAGTTCTTGGAATTGCAAGCCCCAAAAAAACATGCCTGTAAAGCCAAGCCTAAAACTTCAGACAGAAACCATTTCCCCGTTTGTGAAGCCTTCACGCAGAGGCAGCGCGCTCACCAATGCTTGCTGTAACTGGCAAGCACAGTGCACACCTGCAAAGCCACGCTCCGGTGTTGCACATCTAGCCCAGTGCTCTCTGCTACTGCACTGGTACGCTTGTACGACACATGACAGATAATACATCATCTCTGCTCACTATGACAATATATCATCATAGAAAAATGACTGGGCAAAAGTTCTGCTTTTGTTTCTCACTACATCTCTGTTTTCATTTGGCATCATTTACATCATCTACTACTACACACTCCTCTTCCCAGTGCAGAGACAATATGGTGAAGAGCATAAGCTCTTCTATTTTGGATTCTATTTTGGCTCATACACAATCAACCCATTTTCTATTCTAGAACTATTCATTTCCAGTGATGATTCATGAGCCAGAAAGAATACCACTTGCCTATCAGATGCCAAGGAGAACTTACAGGAATGGCAATTAGAATGTTTTTGACTGTGGTGACTGCAGTTGATACAGAGCCTAGCGAACTAACTGAAATGCAGCCTTTCAGCGCTATTTTTGCAGTTGTTTTATAACCACACTTTAAGGTTTCATCTAGCTGATGAAAACAGAAGGCAGCTGAAAGCAGAAAAAGACTCCAACAACCTACCTTGCCAAGTTTATACCTAAATGGTAGACATTACTTACTTCCCTGTATTTGCTTTTTCTACTTCATCTCATATTATGCCAAATGCTTACAAGGAAAAAAAAAATGTTGGAAGAGTTACTGTGATCGTTATGCAAGGCATTAGATTTATCTACAATCATCTGGCAATGTCATGAACGCACATATGTGTGCACTATGAATAGTCCTCTCGATTTCAATGCAATAATCAACAGTATGAGAAATTAAACATGCACAAGCCTGAGGGTTTGTACTCTACAAGTCATATAACATAAAGCGTTTATCTGTATACCACCCAAGGCGAAGAGAAGGACTTAAGACCCTGGAAGCAATAAAAAGAGAAGTCAAAGCTATTGAGATTTGATCATTTATTCAAGTTCCATCAGCTTTACCAGCAGCTTTTCCTATGCATATTGAACTTACATTTTTGGTCTCCAAAGCTGACAAGCTTTTCTAGCTTCTACAACACAATATGATGTCTTTACACGAGAAATTCTTAACTAAGATATTCTTTATCAATTCATTTTATAAAATGAACTTTAAAAAATACCAGTCCAAATCCTTCAACTTAGCTTCAAGGAAATGCCAACTTTTAATACTTTTAAAACTATTACCTCAGTTTGTTCCTATTTGGCTTTTTTTCTGATAATAAATCATTTCATAGCTTTGAACTTCAGCATGATTTTATGACCAGACGTATGTCAGAGATGGAAACACATCTTCCCTTGGAAACACAGAGCTCAGGACTACTTCAGTTTCTTCCCCACCATTCCTAGAAAAAAAAAAAAAAATCACCTTTGAACTGAAATACAAACCAGAAAATGTCAAGAAATTTTGTGTCAGAAAAATATGTGTAACTGAAAAAGGCATATGTGGGTTTCTAAAACGGAACGAAGCATCCAAAACTACATAGATACAGTATTATTTTAGTCTGCTGTCTTTGGCAAGACAATTGACTCACATATTTAAGTGGTACTATGCTTTATTCTTGTTCACAGGAAAAAAGTGAGAGAAAAAAAATTCTGTTAAAAAATACAGTAAATACTATCTGAATTCATCTCATTGCAATTGGCTGAAGATTTCATTACAAAAATTTGGAAAGGTGTATCCTAACAGATCAGGAAAACATGACTGGGTTAGATGCACTTTTTTCCCTTGTAATGTATAGTACCCAGGGAAGTTATCTGGCACCCTTCTTTCATGTGTTCATTTCTTTGCCGGTGAATGCCCAATTCCATCCCAGCCACAGTCCTGCAGCAGTGAAGGATGTCACGGTGTTTCAGAGCAGGGCTGGGATATGGCCTGTGTCTGACAAGTTTCTGTTAAGTGAAATCAACTCTCTGGGTACCAAACGACCCATCTCTATGTGTTCTCACTCACTTTTTAATATTTCTCATAAGCATCTACAAACTATTGCACTGCTTTCTTTGGAAACCCACCTCTAACTCTCACTGGTTTGTGATGCTGACAAAAAAAGAGCTCCCGCGGGTGGAAGGGCGGTTAGGCCGCTCCTGCTCCCGCACCCCTCGGCTGGGCAGCGCTCCCTCAGCGGGAGGCATCTCTTCTCTCCACGCGATCTGTAACCGGCAGGCCGCGGGCAACAACCCCGGGGAGGGCGGGCAGAGGGTTGCCGTCGCTCTTCCCTCCCTCTCCCCCCGCTCCTCCGCCGGGCTGACCCGCTCTAAACGCTGTTTCAGCTCCACCTTCCGGCGCTGGCGGTGTTACCTCAGCCACGGCGGGGCCCGCTCTGGGAAGGCAGCAGCTGGCAGCACAGCCGGGGGCTGAGGGGGGTTGAGGCGGAGGGGGCTAAAGGGGATGCTGAGGGCGCCCACTGCTCGCTCCTTTCTTTCTTCCTTCCTCCCTCCCCGCCCGCCGTCCCGCCCGCCTCGCGCCGCTCCCTCAGCGCTCGGGCCCCGCCCCCAGCGGGCGGCGCAGCGCCCCCTGCCGGCGGGCGGCCGCGCTCCCGCTGCCGGAAGTGTGAAGCGAGGCCGGCGGAGGCCGCGGCCCGGCCCGGCCCTTCCCTTCCGGGCGGCGGCGGGAGCGGCCATGAGCGACGTGGTGGAGCGGACGCTGAGCGTGCTGCCCGGGCTGCTGGGGCAGCACGACCCGGGCGCCGGGCCGGCGGGTGCCGGCGGCCCTGGCAGGGTTTCGGCCACCTCGCGGCTCGGGAGCCTCATCCGGAGCATCACGGCGCTCACCTCCAAGCATGTACGGGCTGCGGGCGGCGCCGCGGGGCGGGCCGGGCCGCCTGCCCCTCCTGCCGTCTCGAAGCGGACGGGGGCCGGGCCTGCCTCCTCTCCTTTCCCGCCCCTCCGCGGGGTGCCGGCGCGGTGGGCCGTGCCCCGGGTCCTGCGCACGGTGGCGGGGCGCCGGCCTCTCCCCTCGGCCGTGGCGCTTGGGGCTTGGCGGAGCTCCGGAGTCCCACACTGAACCCCGGTGCCAGTGCGTGCGTGTGGGTTGCCGCGTTCGGGGGGGGCATGCTGTGGGAAACACGGCCGCACAGCTTCGCCTTCTGGGCCAGAGGCAGGCAGCCCGGCCTTACCGCCCAGAGCGAGGTACACGCTGGTTTTGAGAAGGCTCCGCAGTGCTGTTACAGTAACATGTCGTCTTTGACTTTTGTTTCGCATTGTGCCTCCAAAACTCATGCGAGATTAAACTAAGTTTAATTTTTCTAGGAAGAAGAAAAATTAATCCAGCAGGAGCTCACCAGTTTGAAAGCAACAGTTTCGGCCCCCACCACGACACTTGTAAGTTGTGTTAGTGGTTACAGGCTGTGGGAACAGCAGTCCAAAGATGAAGAAAAAGTGTTATCACTCTTTGTCAGGTGGAACGCACAAGTTATCTCTATAGATATCCATTATAGTTATCTATAGAGATATATATGTAGTTACCTATTACAGATATTTAGTTACCAGCATTAAAAGGTACCAGTGTCTCTGGTTTTGCAGCACAGTTAAAATAGTGAGGACACTGTGATTCTGTTTGATGTGAATAAACTGTAGCAGTATGGTATCCAGAGTGTGGCATTCTGTGGTTTCTGAAATAGTGCAGACAGAAAAGGAAGGTGATGAACTCCTTCCATCAAGTTGCGTTCTTTGCAGGCTGACATTGTTCTTACTTATGCTGTATAAGAAGCTGTTGTATGCATTCTTGCTCACATTAGAGTTGCGGGAGTTGGTATATTCTGGTTTGAGTTAGTTAATGCACATGTCAGTCCCGTAAGTGAGAATTTTTGAAGGGAAAAGTACAGTTTTACCTCACACATAGTGAAAACTCATCCTAGGTCAGTGTAGTGATTGGTAAAAAATAATTTGCTTTAGCAGTGTGATCATCTTAACACTTCAGATAATTAGTATTTTTGATGTTAATTGTAATTAATCTACTGTCGATCACATGCATTCTAATAAAAACAAGATATCATCTTTAGGGGTAGTATATGGGGAGTTCTGCTGTTATAGCCAAAAATTAATACTGGATAGCAAAAGAGCTTTATAGCAGAGGAAGAATTATGAGTACCCAGACTTCAGAAGACATGTGTGAATGTATGTATGTTTCTATCAGATAAAGTCCTCTACTTCACTAGAGCAGTGAAGAAGAGCATAAAACATGGTTGACTTAAAATTCTCAATTTATTTTTGGTATTTCAGAGACTGATGAAAGAATGTATGGTGAGGCTCATCTATTGTGAAATGTTGGGATATGAGTCTTCCTTTGGATATATCCATGCAATCAAGCTTGCACAGCAAGGAAATCTTTTGGAGAAAAGAGTTGGTATGTGCACAGGGCTGTAGCCTTAATAATATTTTCAAACTGTATTTTTAAAGTTTCTTAGGATTTATGTAAATCCTAATATGAATTCATCTAAAAATACAATTTAAAATTGTTCTACTTTCTTGGTCTTGTTTCATAGTCTCTCAGTCCTCTTTGAAAATAACTCCTTAGTTTGTGAGCTGCTTTGAATTTGCTTGTAGAACAGAAGGCTGGGGAAATTTATTTTAAATCATCAGCTGTTCTTTCATTGGTTTTGATTGCAGCTCAAATAAATAAGTAATTTATGAGAAATTTTGTTAAAAAAAATCAGTCTGAAAATGAGTTTGTCAGGATCTGATTTCTTTTTCAAGTACTGTAGTACAAGATTAGACAAGGATGTTGATGTCTGACGTTTGTCAGAGGAATGTTTTCTGTTTTGGTGCTTGTAGGATTTTTTTTTTTATGTTTAGAAACAGTTGTAGGAAATGAGGCAAATGGGGAGATCCTTATAGTATGGGTGCAGAAGTTCCTGAGGAAATCTGAAAGGCTGGTTAATGCCATTGTGATTTCCTTGCCTGCCAGTGTGGCTGTTAACTTGTTTCCAGCAGATTGAGTTTGAAGTAGCTGTGAGCCTGTCTTGTCTGGAGAGTTTCCTTGCAGTTGCTGATTCAACTGCCTAGTGAAGACATTTCTTCTTGTTTGCAGAGAAAATGGTTTAACTCCAAGCAATACTATGTCTGCATACACAGAAGGAAGGCAATGTCTTGCGGGATATGCTTGTTTGATATCCTTTGTTTGAATTTCATCTGGATCATCCACTCAAGTATGAGAGTTTCTGAGAGAATGTATTACAAGTGTTGATTTAAAGTTGCTTTATCCTTGAGTAATGAAAGCCAGTGCGCAGGTGCTCTGGTAGGGATTAAGAAATTCTATCTTCACCAAACCTGGGGGGGCAGGTGGTAAGCTGTTTTGAAGAAAACTTTGCGACCTCTGTAAGGGCCAAGTACCAATGTGTCTTGTTCATCGGTTTGAGACCTTTCCATACTAGGGCTTTTTTTGGCTTTGGTGAGGCAGCACTTTTTTTTTTTTTTAAATCTAGGTGGCTTAAACTTCTCTGGATACAAAGTGCCCTTAAGATTTAGTCTGGTAGAAGGATGTGTGGGCTTTTTGGTTTCTGTGTTGTTTTTTTTTTTTTTTTTTCCATTGTTGTTGTTCTGCAGTTATATGTGATATATGAGGATGACCTTGTCTGTTTTTGGCACAGTATACTAAAGTTTGTATTAAGGAATTGTTGTTAGTTGATCCAATCAAAATGGGTTGCTCTTTTACCCAGTGTAAGCCTCAATGAATGAGGACAAACTACATTTTTGCAGGTGTGCTGAGCAGATTGAGTCCATAGTTTCTCAAGCAGATAGATCAGTCTGATAGCCCAGACAATACAGTTGTTTCTATCTAGGTAGCTCATTTTGATCCCTAAGCCTTGAATGAACCAACACCTTTTTTAAGATCCATCTCTGTAATACAAATATTGTCATGAGTTGTGGCACATCCTCCTTACCCCTCCACTTTAAGTCCCTTAGTTTAAAAGGAAGAGGAGTCTTAAAAAAAAGGTTTCTGGCAGGTTTCTTTTCTGGGGTTCTGGAATTGTTGCCGCCTTGTTAAGAAATAACAAGGCAGTTTTTGGCATAGGATGGTGAATTTACCCTTCTGTATTCCAAGTTGAATATAAAATTTATTTGATCTTGAACTTTTTTTTTTTTTAAAAAGAGAAACAGATATAAAAAAGTGCATTTGTGTTGTGTAATCTAGAAGTAATATACTTTTCTCTGTACAGAGAAGATATTAGTTTTCCAGGAAGTGATTTCTCATGATGCTCTTGGCTGCTTTTTAGCTATAACAGTATTATAATGTGTCTCATTTCTCACAGCTTATGAATTCTTAGCTGTTTGTTGAGCTTTACTGCAACTTAAATATAACTGGTTTGTCTGGAAATAACTCAGTCGTGATATTTAAAACACGAGCAAGTGTCATCCAACAGTGGAGGCTTTTATAATTGTTTGAGTTAAGACTGTCTGTAATACAGTAAGAGTTAAGTTTTCTATCTTAAAGTTGCTTATTGCTTGAAAGTACTAATGGAGGCTGCTTTCCTTTATAGGTTACTTAGCAGTTTCTTTATTTCTACATGAAAATCATGAACTGCTACTTCTACTTGTGAACACAGTTGTGAAGGTACAGTGTTTTTGGAGGTCTGGAGGTAAACTAAACTTGGGCCGATTCTTCCCATTTTGTGTCACACAACATCAAAGCTATGTACTTATTAGTTCTCTCTTGCTCTCTTAAGGTTGCTGTTTCTTTGGCTAGCAATGTAAGTTTGAAATGGCTTTCCCTGGCTTTTTAATTTAATCTCCGCTGTTGAAGCTGTATTTTTACATGTTCCTAAAGGGGATATACCATAAAATTTCCTTTATAAAATGTTCCAATTATATACATTCTCACTTCTGGGAGGAGCCACGCATGCATATTTCAATGTAAACTTTTGCTTTTAGCTGACAGCAAATATCTGTTGGTTTCTTTGAGTTCTTTTGATAATCGATAGAAATATGCTTTGGAGTGACACTGAAAATTTATTACCTAATAATATTTCACAGGTGTCATCTTCTGTATTATTGCCTCTTACAAGGAGCAATTGTGACTCAACTATAACTCCTTCTGTGTAATGATTACTTCTATATTACAGTAGGCCAAAGTCACATAAATTATTGACTCAGTGATGCTTATTTTGTTGTTGTGATTGAAAACTGGTTTATAATCTTTAAAAATCTGACTTGGAACTGGTAAAGATATAGAAAGAAGTGAAAAATGAGAGAAAAGAACTAAACCAAAATGAGGACTAAAATCTATCTGAGACAAATGGCTGGAGTGAATAATTATGTTAACTGGAAATCTTATATGTCTAATTTGTTTTGGAAAATAATTCTAGTCTTCTATTTCATGAATTCATCATTTTTTAGCTTAAGGTTACAGTGAGCTACATCTACTATTTTTAATTGTATTTGGGACAGAATGTTAATTTTTATTCTTTCCTTTGTAGAATGTTGCATATAATTTGCATTTGC